GCGAGACCCTGTCAAAAAAAAAAAAAAAAATCAAGACGCCAAGTACTTGATCTCTCTGGAATTTTTTCCTTACACTGACACTGCATTCACACTGAGGCTCACCTTTACAGTTTGAGACTTCCTGGACCTCCGCACAGCTGGTCTAAGTCCTCTGTGCCCCATGTAAGGATTGTCCCAGGATCGAACTCGGGACCCTGTGGTTTTGAGGCAGGCGGTAGCACCGCTGAACTAAACCCCTCGCCCTGGCTTGTCATTTTCTACAAAGAAAAGGGTCCTGGGATTTTGATTAGGACTTCAATAAATTTACAACTCAATTTGAGACAATTGACATCCGGTCAATGTCAAGTCTCCCAACATTTTTTTTTTTTTGAGACAGGGTCTGGCCTATGCAGCCCAGGCCGGCCTCAAACTCAGTGAACCTCCCGCCTCAGCCTCCAGAGTGCTGGGATCACAGGTGTGCACCACCACGCCTGGCTCAGGGCTCTACTCTTGCTGGGGCTTCCATGCTGTAAGGAACAGACCAAGGCTGGCTAAAGCTGTGGGACTCCTCATAGCATGGGTGGGCAGCTGGGCTGGGGATCCCGCTTCCTGGCGTCTGGGGTGTCTTTCTTTCCCCATAAAGGGAGGCAGATGTGCCCGGTCATATTCCTTTGTTCCTCCTCCCTCTCTCTCTCTCGTAGTATCAAACAGTTTTTGTTTTTCCCCAGTACCAGGGATTGAACTCAGGATCTTGTACTCGTGAGGCAGGTGCAGCACCATGGAGCTAAATCCCCGGCCCTAAACAGGTTTATTTTGGTTCATGGTTCCGGTCCAAGGCCTTGGGGCCACTTCTGGTGATACCTTCTTGCTGGCCAAGTCCTAGGGCTCAGGGCTTCAAGTGGTTCGAGACAGGAGCGGTTCTCTTTGTTCTTTCTGTGTGCTGTGACTGTGGAGGTATATGTGATGTCCGGAGTTCCAGCAACCACCTTGCAAACCAGGACAGAAGCCCGCCTGCTAGGGATTTCGCAGAAGAAAGATGAAAGCGCCTAGGCCTTTCCCTTGATTGGGACAGTCCCCATTGGGAGATCTGGTTCTCTGAGAACAGTAGGTCCTGGGCCTGGAATCTCCTGGTATTTGGATTTCGTGCCAGTTGCATTGAGTGCACTGGGCACACGCCTCTGCAGGTAAGAGCAAGAACGCGCCATGCGGTGGTGGAACAGGCCCGCCTGTTTCCACTCTTTATCACACGGGCTCAGCACCCAACTCCGAGGGCTGGGGAGGGAAGGCAGTTTCCGGGACAGGGTCAGGTAGCCCACTGAGGCCCGGGGACCCCGAGAGCCCTTTTCAAAGGACGGCAGGAGGCCAGCGAGTAGGTACAGCTGCTCCTGGTCCTAAGGTCTCTTTTCGGTCATTGCCTTCAGTCACGTGGATAGGCCTGGTCTCGCCAACACGGAGCCTAAGATAAACAACTGCCAGCTGGTACACAGTTTATTTTGTTTTTGGTAGCAGGGCTCGAACTCAGATCCTTGCGCTTGCGAGGCCGTCAGCGGCACCACTGAACTAAATCCCCGACCCCGGGACACTGGAGAACCCAGGGCCTGTGGCACACACACTCTATCTACCACCGTTCCACGTCCCAGCCCAAGGCTCCACGTGGATTTCTCTCCAGTTTCCTCACCTCTGCCCACCCAGCCATCCGCTCTGGCCTCTCGCTGGCTTCCTCGCAAAGGGAGAGAGTGGCCGGAGCAGCCCGGACTTGTACCTTCTCCCCTGCTGCTCTGAGCAACTGTAGGCCCAGAGCTCTGGGCAGATCTGCGGTCAGGAGAACTGTGTTCTGATTGGCTAAAGGCTGGCTCGCCTGGCCAATCACGCCGCAAGGGCGGCAGCACGGATGCGATTGGCTTCTCCGACTGGGGCACCGCAGCTAAGGTAGGCGGTGGCGGGCACGGATCCCCAGCGGGCAGCAGGTGCTTGCTCTCCGGGAGCGTCAGATCGGGGCTGTGAATTCTATGTCCACCTCCTGGCTGGGCCTGGTTTTCCTGGTCTGTGCAGTGCGGCTCTAATCTCAGGCGCAGTGAGTCAGCCTGTGTGAGTTCTGCCATTGTCCCGCTCTCACTTTCTGCTTGGGAGCTGAGACCAAGGAGAGGCCTAGTGCCCTCAGAGGAGACCGTGTTACCCGCGAAGCCCCACTGTGTGCCAGGCAGTTGCAGGGTCTGTGGGTGGCCCCAGGGGTTGGGCAGCTCCCTGAACCTGGGTACTGCCTGCTGCGTGTGGGAGGAAGTGCCCGCGTGGGCGGAACCATGCTGGGGTGCTCGGGAGGAGGCCCCTAGTTCCCTGGGCAGCAGAAGGAACAAGCACTCCGTGCAGTGGACCACGAGAGGACAGGGCGGCTGACCTCTGCGGGAGCGGGCCACAGTGCCAGTCAGCAGCCCTTGAGGACCAGGACCTGAGGAGCCTGGGCTGGGGAGGGGATGTGGGGCTCCAGCCCAGGCCCCTGACCCCATAAGCAAAGGACAGCCCTGTAGCTGTGGGGATTCCCCTTCCACCTTCTGCCCGGTTTTTATAACTAGCTCCTGTCGCTGCCTGGTGGCCCTCGGTGCAGGGTGGGAGGAGGTGGACCTCTAAGAGGCCGAGCCTAGGGGGAGGTCCTTAAGGCACTGGGTGCTAGGAAGGGACGGTGGGACCTGAGCCTCGCAGGCTCCCGCCAGGCCACGCGACCTCTCCCTGGCACTCCTGCAAAGCTGTGACAGAGGTCCCTCACCAGAGCTGAGCATGAGCCAGGGCCATACCCGCACACCTCCAGAACTGAGCTAAATCACAATTTTCTTTATAAAATGAGCTTGCCTCGGGTATGACATTACAGTAGTGACTGATACCAATGGTCTTTCGGCTCTTCGCTGCTTGCAACAAATGACCCCACAACTCGGTGGGTTAAAACAAACACCTGTCATCTCACAGTGTCTGGGGTAGGCACGTGGTTTAACTGGTGGGACTGTCAAATGTGGTGTGTCACCCGACTGAATCAGAAAACCCCAGGGTGTGGGTGGAGCAATTCTGGGGTGTGTCACGGAGATGTGACCTTGGGATGTGTCTGTGCCTCACCCCTTCCTCTCTGGTACGGTTCCCATGCTCTGCTTCACTGCCACGGTGAACTAGGTACCTTTGCTCCACCACGCCCTTCCACCATGATGGTCCTGCCTGGGAGCCAGCTGACCATGGACCGAACTTCCCGAATCCCTCAGCCAAATTAAACCTCTCCTGTACATTACGGGAGCAGGTGCTGTCCAGTGCCAGGAAGGCTGACCAATACACCTGGGTCTCCCATGAGGCCGTGGTGAGGCTGGGGCTGGAGCTACAGCCTCTGTAGCTTTGATCAGGTCTGGAGGATCCACTGCCAGCTGTCCCAAGGCCACTGGGGGAGGGCAAACAAGAGATACTTCCAGTATCTTCTAGAACCTAATTCCAGAAGAGACACCACCCGTGCCCTGCTCGGCCAGCCCCACAGGCCTGCCCTGGCTATCAGGAGGGACTGCCCCAGGGTGTGGGCACAGGTGGCTGGCTGCCCTATGTGGTACCTGGTCTATTTCTCTGCAGGTGTGCCTGCCTGTGAGCTTGTTTTATCCTCTAATTAGCCAGTTTCATCACCCAGATGTCGAGCAGAGAGTCACACCCAGGAAGCAGAATGTGGCTTTCTGGGATCCCTTCCTGCTGGGCCCCATGAGCTCTGATGGCCTGCAGTGGGGACAAAGAATTGGATACTTTCCCCCAATTTTCTTTGGCTCAAAACACTCTTATTTGCTGCAAAGAAATATTTTTCTGTGACACTCTCAGATCTTGCCTGTCTTGGTGAGACAAAGGAATGAGCAGAGCCGGCACTGTCAACACAACTCGCAACATGGAAGTGGACACAAGGGGCCTCCTGAACCAACAGGTGTCAGGTCCACAGCAAGTGAACCAGTGTGAGACCGCACTGGGACAGGGATGCGGCCTGACATCTAGGGATTAGGGGATCATTTGTTACTCACGCAGCCTCCATGGAAATCCAACAATCGTGCTCATTTTTAGAGATAAATGCATAAATATGAAAACTGCCAGGCATCAAGCGGAGGGTTGGGCAGGCAGCAGATGGAGCTGTGATATACGGATGGTTACTACGCATCCCTGGTACCCTTGGCTTCTGCCTGCTGCTGACCGCACCGTGCCTGGGGCCCCCCCAAGAGGCCGGAGTCCAGGTGCCCACCCTGACTTGGCATCCCTGCCAGCAAGGCTCTTCTCAGCTGTGTCTTGGGAACACCAAGTACCAAATGCACTGGGCAGGACAGACGGGCAAGGAGGCACAGCAGGCAGGAGCCGGTGGCCATTCTGGCCCTGGCATCCACGGGGCCAGCCCTGGCCAAAGCACCTGGCCTGAGGATGGCAGCCTGAGTCCCAGCCTGGCCTGGCAGGAGAGCAGTGCACTGGCTAGGCCCTTGCTCCCCCTGCAGCAGAAGTTCAGGGTGGCCCAGAGGGGTCAGACTACCACAGGGGCTGTGCCCTCTCCCCAGGCACCTTCTCAGCATCCCCACCAACACCTGGCATCGGGGCCTTGTTGAACGTTCCTTGGTTTGTCAGGTGAAAAATGACACCTTGCAGCCACTGGAACGTACACTGCTCTGGTCTTGGAGGGCCGGTGCAATTTTTCTCTCCTTGTGGTGAGCGTCCATTTGGCACTGACGCTCTGGGGGTCCTGCTGAAGGGTAACAACCCTCTGTTGTCAGGAACGGAGATGCCGCCCACGGTCTGCCCTGGTGTGGGCTGGCAGTGACTCTGGCTTGGGAGGCTGCCTTACGTGTTTATGTAGAATCTTAAAATTGATTTATATCTACCACTTTGTTGTCAGCTTTTTTCCAGTACTAGGGATTGAACCAAGGACCTTCACATTGAGCTACATATTCCCCTTTTTTAAAAATTTTCTATTTTGAGAAGGTCTTGCTTAGTCAGTTAGTTGCTTAGGCTGGGCTTGAAATTGCAATCCTCCCAGATTTCAGCCTCCCAGAGTGTTGGGATTAGTTATGGGCCATCATGCCTGGTATTGTCAGCAAATATTTCGAGGGTCTTATCAGAGCCACACATGACACCTCAGAGAAGACAAAAGGGAGAAAGGATTAAAAACCTAGCTAAAGGTAACAGACTGTTATAAACAGGTCACCTGTGTACTGAGTAAGAAGCCCTGGTAGGGAGACCAAAGGAGGGGATTGGTCCAGAGATGACAGTATGTTAGGGAAGGGGAGGATCCTCTGTGAAGACAACACTTGAGCAAAGATTTAGAAGGGGGGGGGTGCACAGGCAGTGCAAAGGCCCTGGGGTGAGTAGAGCAAGGCATATCCATACCTTCAAGGACAGTGGGGTGAGTACAGCCCAGGGAGGAGGTCAGCTCAGGTGGGGGTTGTGGGTTCCCAGGTGTAATGTCTGGGTGCTGGGCAGGCAGGCTGTTACTCTCCAGCACAGCAATGCCTGTAGGTGAGTAGGCCTGCTGTCTCTACAAGCTGCAGCCCAGCACTGGGTCCACAGGCTCAGCCCCATGGATCTACCACCTTCCAGGTGCTGTCTTTTTTTTGGTATTGGGGATTGAACTCAGGTCCTTGAGCTTGCCAGGTAGGGGCGGTGCCGCTGAGCTAAATCCCTGGCCCTAGGGCTGGGAGTTTCTGGCCCAGATGTCTACGGGCTCTCAGACAAGGTCCAGGCCACTGATGGTGCAACAGCCCCGTGAGGCCTCCAGCCGGGAGCGGACAGGTTAGTGGACCACAGGCGGGAGGGGCGGCCCTGCTGTCCTCTGGTCGGAGGAAAGGCGGCGCAGGGGTGAGGAGCTACTTCCAGGGTGGCGCCCTTCTTCCCAGAGGCCTGCGCACAACTAAGGGACTGGGGTCACATGCCAGGGCTGCGGGTCCCAGGACTTGGTGCAGAGCCCGCTCTGGACATCTGGAGTGCCCAGGAGGGCCTCTTAGCAACCCCGCGAGATGGACGAGGCGCCCGAGCACAGCTCAACGACGGAGGTGAAGTCCTGGCGCGGGGCCCAGCGGTCTCAGGGCCTTCGGAAGCGTGTGGTTGTTGTTCCAGCGGTGGGCCGGTTCCAAGGCGGCCCGATCCGAGCTCTTCCTTAGGCGCAGCGCGGGTTGGGGCGCAGGTCCCCGCCGAGCGCGCCCTCTGCACTGAAGCGACCCTGCGGAGCGCGATGAAGCTCGCCCGGCCCCAGGTGCAGGAGCTGACCGGGGCAGGAGGCGGCAGCGGCAGGGGTACCCCGGGCTGGGGCAGCACGGGTAGCCGGGACCTCGATCTGTGCCCAGAGCGTACCCACCACCCTCGCCTGCCCTGCTCTCATTGGGCGGTTCGCTGCCGCCCCGTGATTGGTCCGAGCGGCCAGCTCTCGTCCAGTAGACGCACTGCTGCTGGCGCGAGTTCAGAGGGCTGACGGGCGGGGCGTGCCGAGGCTTCTCGGCCACTCTGCCGAGCCGGGCGCTCCGGGTGAGTGAGTCCTGTGACCCTGACCACCCACGGTCCCCGACCTGGGCCCGATGAGCGCCGCCGTGCCCTCGCCCTCGCCCTTCCGTCGATCTCTCCGCCCCTAGTCTTGGCCTGCCCTGAGCGCCGGGCGGGATCCCCAGACGCCCCTGGCTTCTCCATTCTCCCCTCGCCCCTAGCCTGCCGGTCGGAAAAGCGAGCCAGTTCATGCCTGGAAAAAGCAATGTGGCTCAGGCACTGTGATGACGCCCGCCCGCCATTCCAGCACTGCGGAGGCTGAGGCAGCAGGATGGAATATTCGTGCCCAGCCTGGGCGACTTAGCGAGACCCCATCTCAAAATAAAATATGAAAAAGGGCTGGGATGCAGCTCAGTGCAAAGGCCCTGGGTTCAATCCCCAGTATGCCCCCACCTCCCATGTTACCAAAATTATTGATCCCCTCTGCGTATTTTCTAATTCATGTTATTTCAGTATGTTGTTGGTAATGCAAACACTACTGTTTTTAAATTAAAGTTGCGTTGTAGAGGTACAAGGTCCCAACAATGAATGTAACTGTACTGTATCCCTAAAATGTACCAACAAACTCAATTAAAGCTGAAAAAAAAAAATTAAAGTTGCGTGACCGGGGATTTAGCTCAGTTGCAAAGTCCTCAGTCGATCCCCCGTACCAGAAAATAAAGAAAGAAATAAAGAATTGCTGCGTAACAATAGCGAAAGTGGAAGTGTCCAGCAGCACGACAGCAGTTTCAACCCTTGGTCTCCACCAGTGCCATGGGTCCTGGTTTTCCCAGTTCGGACAGCAGCATTACTCCCAGCAGCAAAAAGGTGGGAACGACTCACTTGTCTCCCAGCAGAGGGATAAACTAACACGGAACGTGCATACAGTGAAAGAGCTTTAGCAAGGAGGGGCGTTCCGACACACGTGAGACGCCAGGATTTCGGAAACAAACGCCGTGCTGAGTAAAGCCAGCCGCACGGGACAAGTGCCTCGTGACTGTGCTTACACAAAACACCTGGGATGGGCGAGCTCGCTGAGGCGGATCAGAAGCCAGGCACATGCGCACACCTGTTACCCCGGGTTTGAGCGGGGCCTGGGCAACCCAGCAACTTAATGAGTTCTTGCAGTGAAGTGAAAAATATAAAGGGCCATGGATGTAGTCCAGTATGAAGGCCCTAGGTTCAAAACCCAGTACGGAAAAGTGGATTAGAGGTTGCTGGCAGCTGGGGAAAGAAGGAACGGGAAGTCGGTGCCCCAGAGCACCGAGTCCCTGAGTCCTGCAATGGGTGGGGGTGTGGCCTGCCCAACAGCACACGTGCGCTAGCGGCCCCTGGATTATGCACTTCAAAATGGTTAAAATGGCAAAATTTATATACATGTATTTCACCGCTATTTATTTTTATTTATTTGTTGGTTCCGGAAATCAAACTCAGGTCCATGTCGCTTGCAAGGCAGGAGGCGGAACCACTGAGCTAAATCCCCGGCCCTATTTCACCACGATTTTAAAAAGAATACAATATCCCCAGACTACTGATTCGCTCACCGCAGGTGACTGCACTTTGTGCTGTGCGAGCCGCAGCTCAGCAGAGCGGTTACAAACTCCAGCCATGGCGCCGGAGGCATCTCCGCCTGCTGCTCTGTCCAGCTGTTCGGCCGACCCAGTTCCCGGAAGCCTCGAGTACACCTGGGGGGGCTAGGGGCTGCCTCCCTGCGAGCCGTGGGCCCGCTGCACAGGAGGTCTCCCTTGGAAGTCGGGGCCCACAGCTGCCGGCGATGAGGACAGAACCGGGCCCACTCCTGTCTGTCCCTCCTAACGCGAAGCTGCCCCCGGGCCTTCCAAACTGCCCAGGGAACCTTCGCCGGCCCCGTCATCTCGGAACTCTAGTGGACTCACCTGAAATGTGTCTTGCTTTTCTGTCCCCAGTAGAGCAGCGGCCTTTTCCGTTGCTTAAGGTGCACAGGACCACAGGGCATCCCAGGCCGGCCTTCCCTTCATCCTCTTCCCGGCTCAGGGCCCCGGGAGGCCGCCGTCCCAGACATGGCCGCTGGAGGGCGCCGCCGCACCGCTCCTACCCGACGCCGCTCCAGTGGGAGGATCCCATTGGTGGGCGTTGAGGTTGATCTTCCGGTTCACACCATCCTTTTAAGCCGAGGGCCAGGGCGGGAGGCTGCGATAGTGAAAACGGAACTGGTCTGGTGGACTAAATAAGCCCTGTTCACTTGTCCCAGTCCTCCGTGCCTACCTGTGGACCGCTTTGGTGACCAGCTTCTCTGTGGGCAGCCGGCATCTTCTCTGACTGCATCCTGCAGGTGTCTGGGGGCAGCCCAGGCACACAGCACCCCTCCCGTGTTCCACCCCACCCTCTTCCCCTTAACACTACCCAAAGGCGGGGTTGGGGGTCCTCCGGGCCACTGTCATTCTCTCCCCACCCCTCTTTGCACTTCTGCAGGAGGTCCCTGGGGGCTGGGAAAGGCTCAGGCCACCCGAGTAGGGCACCTGCAGCCTTCTTCCATGCCCCCTCCCCGTGTCGGACTGCCATGCTCCCCGGTCCCCAGCTCGATCCCAGTCCCCAGCCAGCCCTGACCTCAGTCAAGGCCAGTGGCCACTCTGCTTCCCGGCCGGGGCTCCTGAGGACTGACAGAGAAGGTCCCTGATGGCCACTCCGTCCGTGGGAACTTGCCCATAGGTGCCCGAGTGCCTGCGGTGGCCCAGGTTACCTGGCATCAAGGGACAAGACGTGGTCTGGCTGTTCCGGGTAAGGCTGAGCACAGCCATGGGACTGAGCGAGGCACTCTCAGTGGCAGCGTGCTGGCAGCTCCGCCTGACCCCCACAAGCTCTACTCTACCTGAGCGTGGGCAGCGATCTCTGGAAGATGTTTGAGAAAGTGGCCTTGCCCCCTGGGGCTGGAGGGACACGGTGGCAGCTGCTTAGGCTCCCAGACAGTGGCCATCCTGGGCCAGCTGGGTCACAGAGCAGTTGGCACCTAAATCATTCTCACCTGCCTGATGGGAAGGGAGACTTCTGCTCCAGGGCTCTGGCTATCATCCCTTAATCTGCTTCCTCTTCCTCCACCACCTCTTCTAGACTCCCCAAGTTGTCTTCTCTCCCTGGACAGAGCCTCCCAGCTTCCACAGGCCTACACATGACATCCACAAAATGCCTTTGGAAGGAGGCTCTGGTGTTGCGGGAATTCTAGAGCCCCAAAGGGTTACAGGGCTGAGGACCTCAGAGATGCTTGCCCCTCGGGTGGAACTGACCAGAGTGTGTCAGGAGAGGCAGACGCCAGCCCCTCCAGTCAGTTGTCCTCAGTCTTCTTGTTGGGGGTCTCCTGCCCCCCAACAGCAGAGGAAAGGAGTGTGTCTGAATCCTCCTGGAACAGGGTTCCAGGCTGCGCTGCCCCCAGCTCTGCTCCCTCTTCCTCCCTGTCCACCCAGCTCCAGCCACCCCGACGGGGCCTGTTTAATTGATTCAATTTGTTCAACAGTAAAAACACTGCAGATGCGAACCTCCCGGCACTCACCCCCGGGGAGCCAGACACCTGCTGGGCCCTGGGGCTGGGAGTCTTTTCCAGGGGCCACAAGCCCAGTCTGTGGGGGAGGCCTGGACCCCTACTGCTTTTGGGGAGCACCAGGGTGGAGGCACAGAGTGGCCTCTGGGTTGCAGATGGGAAGCAGACCTGTGTTTGTCCAGGGATGAGCTTCTTTTACAGCCTGCCAGGTCTGGAAGCTGACTTGGAGATGACCTTCCTTTTGGTCAAGCTGCCATCCCAGGCCCTAGGCTGCTGTTAGGGCTGCCTCTTTTCCTTCAGGAACCTGTCTGGGGACTCGGCTCCTGTGTCCATACCCACCAGCACTGGGCTCTCTGCAGCAGGCGCCTGAGGGGCCTCAGCCCGGCTGGGAAGGACTCTCGGGAAGCCTCCAGAAAAGATGGTGGGTCCTGAGGTCAGGAGCCTCAGACCTAACCTGACTCCCAGTCCAGCCCAAAGGTGTCTCCCTGGGAGGGCCCCTGGCTCCTGGGGCCACCGCTTTCCACCTAGAGGGAGGTCACTGTCACTGACTGACAGTGGCTGAAGAGGGGGATGATTCAGGGAGCGTTCGCACAGCCGGCCAGGCAGCAGGGCTCTGGCCCCATCCCCACATCTCATCAGGGAAGGAAGCCCCAGCCGGTGAACGAGCTCACCGTGAAGCCCGGGACCGGGGTCTCTCCTGCTGGCTAATCTCCCACGTGCCTCTCTCAGGGAAAGCCCAGAACCCTGAGCTCGCTGAATACTAGAAGCTAGAAAGACCCCCCAGACCGTTCCTTAGCTCTTCCTTGTCCCGGTTCCCCGGGGACAGAGAGAAACCAGGGCAAGGGAACTGGGGACAGAGAATGCGAGGGCTCGTCCAAGGTCACCCCGACGGGCCGCTGGCCCTGGCTCGACTGCGTGAGGAGGCCTAAGGTCCAGGAGGGGCGCGCAGGTGGAACCCGGCCCGGGTGGGCGCAAGGCGCGAGCACAGAGAACAAAAGGGCACCCCGCCCCCGCCCCGCCAGTGAGCTCCGGC